GTCCAAATCATCAATTCAAAACCTACGACAAATTAGAGAACAATTAGCGTATGATTTAACGGAACTAATTAACGAGCTAGGCCCAAAAATATATCCTGATTTTGATAATGCACGTATAGTTCAAGAAGTTAAAAAGAATAGCAGGTCACCATCACCATCAAGGCCATCATCATCATTGAGATTATTCGCATTAACGGATTTAATGGATGACAAACTATTTGATTGGGAAAAGGCTGATGATTCTGATTATGATGATGTATTTTTCTTCCTTGACAAACATAATGGTGGTAAAATTACTGGACGTAGTAGGTCTAATTCTTCCAGTAGTAGGAAACTACTATCAAGTGGCAGGGATGGAACTAGCAGTAGTGCTTCGTTAAGTAGAGTGAATTCGTTTAATTCACTCAACTCATTTAATTCAAATGTAGAAGCGTTTACAAAATTATCAAATACAAGTACAATATCATCACATAACATTCCAGAAGTTAGAATTATTGATGATGATGGATATCAAGGAGATAAAGAAAATTCAATACAAACAAAGAAGAATGTTTAACCTTTCATTTTTTGTTACTTTTCGCTTTACTAAATCACACCAATGATGTTTAACACCAACGTATAAATGTTTATCATTCCAAAAAAAAATTCTAAATTTTTGATGATAAAATTACTGGCATGATAAATTATTGGTGTGATTTAGAACGATTGTTATTTATTTTTTTGCTATATTTTTTAAATTACTGGTGCTTCAAAATAAGAACAATGTATATTTATTTATATATTTATGTCAAAAAGTATAATAAGAAATGTTATATATAGATTAAGTTATAGCTAAAGTTTGAATTATCTTATATTAACATGACTAGAAATGAGTTTGAAGCTTAAAGTTTCGGGTATTTGCCAAAGGCATCTCGTTGAATTGCGATTATATTCTAGGTCCCTTTTAATTTATCTAGTGTTAGATTTCTATTGAATTCTTGTCAAGAAGTGAATTCGCCATGTCTTTTAAATTATCCTTTCGCTCAATTTTCCTTTTTACATTATTTTTCTTTGAACTAGTACTGTATAGGTGGGCAAAATGGGCATTTTGCCCATCTCTAGGTATTACTAAAGGCGGATGTTAGATAGAATTTTGCTGTCACAACTCAAAATATGTACTAAATCTAAATTTCAATGAAATAAATTCTATGGTTGTTATCAGCGCTCATTATCGTTATAACTAATAATTGCAATAAAGTTGACAAATTATAGGATTAATAATTTTCGTGAAACCTCGATGCATCCAAGAAACCAGCCTTATACAAACGTTGCTGAAATACAGTGCGTTAATAAGACCTCTGTAGTTCACAGGTACAAATGCAATGACATCGTATTAGGATCCTTATCAAAGCAGAGAACTTGCAACTTGGAGCCTTTTTGAGAATAATCAAGAATTCTATAGAATAAAAATTAAGATCAAATTTTTTAGGTAAATTGTCACAATTGGGAATTTTCAGAAATATAATCTCTAAGATCCTGAATAAACCTTCTAAAACATGAGGTAGATAAAAGTGTAAAACCTGAATTTTAGAGTATTAATTTATATAGGCTATTATAACTGCAAAATAACTAGATAGATCAAAATCAAATCTATAGTATTATTTAGTACAAATATATATTTTTTTTAAAGATTACTCTTTAAAAAATAATAGGCTCAAATATAGTATAGCTTACTCCTACCCTAAAATTTAGGGTATACACCCTAAAAATCGAGGTATGTATCTAGGGTGCAGAAAAAAAAGCCCGGTTGATTTTTGAAATTTTGAGGGCTATAAAAACAATATTTTACAATTGGTGTTTAAGCCAAACTTATTATATATAATTAGTATGATAAACACACTTTCAGCAAATGGGCTCTATTTGTATCTCTCACATGCCTGCTGCCAGTAACAAGTCTTCAAAGTTGACCGGGTCAGGCCCAATCGGGCCGGGTCTGGGCCTGACCCGGTTAACTTTGAAGACTTGTTACTGGCAGCAGGCGTGTGAGAGATACAAATAGAGCCCATTTGCTGAAAGTGTGTTTATCATACTAATTACATATAATAAGTTTGGCTTAAGCACCAATTGTAGAATATTGAGCTAAAATATAGTATATGTTATCCTTTTTTACTAGCATTATATCAATTTTTAACTGGAATTATCACATATGAACCTGTGTATATATATATATATATATATATATATATTTTTTTTTTTTAACGTCTACCCTCTTGGGAGCTAGGATCTTTATTCAAGTATATATAGCAAAGGGTTCTTTAGGGATCCCCCTACATTAGAGAGTACATACTAGCCACACATACACTTTTGGTGTCTAATTTAAGTAGTTCGCCTGTACATCATACAGGTTCTACACTAGATGCCGTACCTGTAACCCAACTATGGGTGTTACCCATTTAACCCCTCTGTAATGTAACTAAACTTGTGTCACCAAGACAACTTTGGTACATTTGTCAGTCAAGAAATCTCAGATACTTTATCCATTTCCTTAGGACTAATTTATCCTCGAGGGATCGACACTAGAGTGAAGATAGCTTATAATCATATAGAGAATCATTATATAGTCTATTTTACGTGGAAAGAATTATTAGCCCAGGA